TACCTGGTGGTATTTATCTGTACCATGTAGGGCAGTGCTACCTGGTGGTATTTATCTGTACCATGTAGGGCAGTGCCACCACATGGAATTTATCTGTGCCATATAGAGAAGTGGTCACCAACCCTGCTCTGCCACCCTGCAGATCTTAGGTGCAGGGCTTAATTTAACGCACCTAATACAGATAATCAGGCCCTTCAGCAGCATCTCAGTATTCAGCTATGTTGAAGCTATTTATCAGGTGTGTTAAATTAGGGTTTCCACCTAAGCTCTGTAGGGAGGTAGATCTCCAGGAACGGGGTTGGTATCCACTGATATAAAGCAAGGTGACCATGTGGCATTTACAATTAGGCCCATAAGTGATTGGACATTGATGAAATTTTTCATAATTTTCTGTCTGCATACCATCACAATGGATTTGAAATTAAGTAATCAAGATGTGACAGAAGTATAGACTTTCAGCTTTAATTTAAGGGGTTTAACAAAGGATTTCCAATTAGCTTTTAGAAATTACAGCCATTTTTCACAGTCCCTCCATTTTCAGATGCTCAAAAGTATTTGGTCATGTCAGTACAAGTAGTTTCATTGCCAGGTGTGATCTATTCCCTTGTTAGTATATAAAAGGTCTGGAGTTAATTGTAAGTACTGATTTTGCATTTGGTAGCTGTTCACTGGAACTCGACAGGAGGTTCAAAGAGGTGTCAATGCAAGTGAAGGAGGTCATCATTAGGCTGCAAAAAGAAAATAAACCAATCAGAGAGATCTATAGCTAAAACTGGAGGAGTGCCCAATTCAACAATTTGATACATTCTTAAAAAGAAGGAAAGCACTGATGAGCTTTGCAACACCAAAAGGCCTGGGAGACCACAGAAGGCAACTAATGTGGATGATCACAGAATTCTTTCCTTGGTGAAGAAGTACTCCTTTACAACATCTAGTTAGGTTGTGAGTACGTATGAGGAGGTAGGCACATCACTGTCAAAGTGTACAATCAAGAGACACCTAATGGTGTCAGTGGTGGCCTGATGGTTAGGGAAGTGCTCTTGTAATTGAAAGACTGCTGGTTTGAATTCCCGACCAGCAGGGTACCGCCCCCAAGCACTGCTCCCTGGGCACTGAATTAGTTGCCCCCTGCTATGTCACGGTGTCACATATGGGTTAAATGAAGAGGATACATTTCGTTGTTGTACACTGTGTGCTGTGGTGTGTCAACACTGATCACCAAATTCTTAAAAAAAAAAATAATGAATGAACGTAAATATAGAGGGTTTACCTCTAGAAGCAAACCACTGGTAACACTGAAAAACAGGAAGGCCAGATTAGACTTTGCCAGAAAACATGGTGGAGGCAGTGTTATAGTGTTATGGCATGGGCATGTATGGCTGTCAGTGCAACTGGGTCACTGGTGTTTATTGATGATGTGACTCCTGACAGAAGCAGCAGGATGAAATCTTAAGCACATAGTGCTGTACTCTTTGCCAAGATTCAGCCAAAGGCTGCAAAACTGATTGGAAGGTGCTTTAAAGTGCTAATGGATAATGACCCAAAACATACTGCTCAAGCAGCCTAAGAGTTTCTCAAGGTAAAGACATGGGATATTCTTCAATGGCCAAGTCAAAGCATGAAGGCGGAATGACCAACATCAAGCAGCAACTGAAGGCGTCAGCAGTGAAGGCCTGTCAAAGCATCTCAGGACAGGAGACTCAGTGTATGGTGATGTGCATGGTTTCCTGACTTTAGGCAGTCATTGACTGCAAAGGATTTTCATCCGAGTACTAAAACATATATTTTATATTATATTACATTGTCCAATTACTTTTGAGCCTCTGAAAATGGAGGGATTCTGTGAAAAACAGATGTAATTTCTTAAAGTTTAATCAATACTTTTGTTAAGACCCTTAAATTAAAGCTGAAAATCTATACTTCCCTCACATCTCGATTGCTTAATTTCAAATCAATTGTGGTGGTATTCAGACAGAAAATTACAAAAATTGCATTAGTTTCCTAATACTTATGGACCTAACTGTATCTGTACCATGTCGAGCAGGGTCACAGCATGGCATTTGTCTGCACCATTGTCATATTTTTTTTTTTATCTTTCTGTGTTTCTCGTCTTCTCCCCCTTCTTGTGTCTCCCCGTTCCTCCCTCCCTCCCACTGTCTCCCCCGGTATCTCGTCCTCTCTCGCGACGCCCCATTGAGGCCAACACGAGGGCCTTGGAGCAGGAACTGCAGTGCCCGCTGTGTAAAGGCCTGGTAAAGCAGCCCATCCTGTTGCCCTGCCACCACAGCGTCTGCCTTCACTGCGCCTCTCAGCTGCTCATACAGAACGGATACCCAGCCCCAGACATGTCCCCCGAGCCCAACTCACCCGCGTCAACCCCCAACAGCCGCTCCCCACGCCTGGCCCGGCGGCCCATGCCCAAGTCGGACCGCGTTGAGCGCGTGCTCCGAACAGGTCTGTGTTTGTGTTATTATGTTACCGTGAGGGATCTGTGTGTGATCTGTGAGAAGTTTGAGCTGCTGCTGAAGCCCAGCTGTCAGTCTGCCTCCCTGCTTGTGGTAGCCCTTACTGTCATTCTTTCAAAATCAGACCTGGAATAAACAACTGGTCTGTGAGCAGATTTCAGTGAAGCTGACTCATGATGTCCCATTTGCCCCCCTCCCCCCTCAAGGCAGCGGAACATACCCGGGCCGGAGGCGGAAGGAGCCCCCACCCCCTATGGTGCTGTTCCCCTGCCCGCCGTGCCAGAGGGATGTTGAGCTGGGGGAGCGAGGCCTGGCCGACTGCCTGCGCAACCTGGCTCTGGAGCGTATTGTGGAGAGGTACGTCCATCCCATGCCCGCGCCAAGTGTCCCTTTGAGCCAACTACTCAGAAGGCCTTATTACAAGCCTGGATGTGGAATAAATATGGTTTTGGTATCCTCTAAGTGAAGGAGCCAAGAGATAAAAATACTTTTCATTTGTAAATACCCTTCCTGTTGATTGTAGCTAATCCTGTGTAAATAATGTATATAAGAATGTTTTTTTTTGTTTTCTTGTTGTGCAAAAGTCAGTGTAGTCATGCAATTAGATCTTTTGGGAAATGTGAGGATTGGAGTTTGCACCCATTATGTATGCATGATCGCCTGTATTGGGGAAAAAAAAATTGTGTCTGGTCCGGTTTTGAACCAATATGGGATGTGATTTATCTCATAGTTTTGGGGAGCATGACTAATGTCCCCCCCTCCCCAGTACATTTTATTGAAAGAGGCAACCTTAGTGAGGATTTACAGTTCATCAATGAGGTCCATCTCCAGTCAGCCAGACAAAACGACATGCAAAGGCCATGAGATTCTGAAAAGGCTGGTTAATTACCACAAAGCGTAGTTTTTGTCCATTAAATAAGCTACAGAAGAATAACTTTGGAATGGGAGACATATTGTGCATTATTATAAAGATATAGGTTCAAAGATGTATGCATATATTGGTTACCACAGCCAACATAGATTTAGGAGAGGTAGGTCCTGTTTAACAAATCTACTTGAGTTCTTTGAGGAAGCTACAGTACAAGTGAAATTGATCACAAAAAGTCCTACGATGTGCTCTACTTAGATTTCCAGAAGGCCTTTGATGCTGTCCCCCACAAACACCTCTTGCTTAAGCTCAAAGCTGTAGGGATTTTAGGAACTGAAGCAGTTTGGATCGAAAACTGGTAAACAGACAGGAAGCAGCGGTAGTTATTAAAGCAGGGGTGCCCAACTGCAGTCCTGGAGGGCCAGAGCCCTGCACATTTTTGGGTTTCCCCTCATTTAACACACTTGATTCAACTCCTTGTGCTAATTACCACACAGCTCTTGACCTGAATCCTTTATGGTGGAACAGGGAAAGAACTAAGCTACACAGGGTTCCGGCCCCCCAGGACTGGAGTTTGGCACCCCTGTATTAGAGGCACAATGTCACAGTGGGCCTGCGTTCATAGTGGGGTACCGCAGGGTTCAATTTTAGGACCACTATTGTTCCTAATTTACATTAATGATATTCACACCAATACATATACTGTAGTAAACTGGTTAAATTTGCAGATGACACCAAGGTGGGTGGTGTAGCAGATACTGATCTAGCAGCACAGTGGCTACAAAGGGATCTGGATTTAATTAGCGACTGGGCTGATACTTGGCAGATGAAATTTAACATAGATAAATATAAGGTAATCCATGCAGGGAGCAGAAATATAAAGTACAGATATTTTATGGGTTCCACTGAAATAAAGGTAGCTGATTACGAGAAAGACCTCGGTGTGTATGTTGATGCTTCCATGTCCCACTCTTGCCAGTGTGGGGAAGCAATATAAAAGGCCAATAGAATGTTGTGTTATATCTCTAGGTGTGTGGAGTTTAAGTCAAGGTAGGTGATGCTACCATTATATAATTCCTTGGTAAGACCCCACCTAGAATATTGCGTGCAGGTTTGGTCACCATACCTTAAGAAGGACATTGCTGCCTTAGAAAAGGTGCAACGGAGGGCTACGAGAATGATTCCTGGTCTTAGAGGAATGTCTTATGAGGAGAGGTTAGCTGAGCTGAATCTGTTTCGCCTCGAGCAGAGGAGACTAAGGGGGGACATGATCCAGGTATATAAGATTCTAACGGGTCTGGATGCTGTTCAGCCAAATGGCTATTTCAATATTAGTTTAAATACTAGAACTGTAGTATGGAATAGTCTTCCTGCTAGTGTAGCACAAGCTAAAACCCTGGGTTCCTTTAAATCAGAGCTAGATAAGATTTTAACAGCTCTGAGCTATTAAGTTCTCCCTCAAACGGGCTTGATAGGCTGTATGGCCTCCTCTCATTTGTAAATTTCTTATGTTCTTATGTTCTTATTACTTGTGCAGTATTAAAGGTGCCACAGGACAAAAATCTGACTTTATATAGTTGAATAAGGAGAGTTCAGGGCATGGAACTGGCATACCATGAATCTGAAACACTGTTGTTCTCTTTTTCAAATATAAATCCTGCATTTGTAAAAAAAAAAAAAAAAAAAGGTGATAAAACGGGCAGATTAAAAATCCTAGACTGTTACATAACAGTCATAACTACACCACCAAGCTTAACATACACTAGCCCACTTTCAAGCCCAATGGATCTGCACATCCTGCAACATACATTTTCTCTCTTGAGGGGGGAAGGCATGTACAGTTACCACAGGTGCACCTGGCGAGGAAAAAATATATACTGACAGTCATGGATTTAAGGGTATTTATTACTAGTAGGCTAAGAAGATAAGTTCTGCTCAAGGATATGTTTCTGAAACTGCTCCCATTGGCAACTTCATCGTTGGACCCATTCAGCTGTGTATGGTCCCAACTGCGTAGTTGCTAACATTAGCAGCTATGTTTTTGGGAAACGTACCCCAGGCTAGCAGGTGAGCAGTAAACAATATTACAAAGTCTGTGATACTGACATTGACAAGAGGCTAATGTACTGCCTGTAGCCTACTGCTGGTTAGCTAAACAAATATATAATGGATGCTGAAGTAAAAAAATTGGAAGCAGATGTTAAAATTGATTACACAAAACACATTTACGAGCTGTTCTGCTTGCTGTTTGGAGTTCTTGATAAAAATTGCATGACTAACCTAGCACTGTAAAATCATTTGACAGATGCAATGACAACATGTCCAGGCTGAAATGGGAGTATTACAGTTACGTGTGGCAAAGCAGAAAGAGTACATTTTAAAATAACAATAAGAAGTACAGTATAGTACTTGTGTGTGAGTATGTGTGTATGTGTGTGTGTGTGTATGTGTGAGGTATGATATATAATATGCATACCCTGAGTGTAACATAACATTTCTGTGAAAAAGGCTGTGTCCAGATAACGGAGAGATGATTCAGAATCTGGGCACCAGTTATATAAAGGGATGTTTGTTTTGCTTGATGTCTGTCAAACTTTGCTGAAACTGTTTGAAATCATCCAGAATCTATTTTCTTAATTTTTCATAAAAATGTTCATTTTTAAATTTTTTAAAAATTTTTTGGGGGGGGGTATTTAAGGTAAGTGGAGAAAACAATGGAGATGGGGTGTCTGAGGGTGTAACTCAGGTGCTGATGTTTCTCTGGCCTCAGGTACAGGAGCGCAATTCACATGTGCGGCGTGGTCGTCATGTGCCAGTTCTGCAAACCCCCCCAGACCCTCGAGGCCACCAAGGGCTGTGCCGACTGCAGGGCCAACTTCTGCAACGAGTGCTTCAAGCTGTACCACCCGTGGGGGACACCGCGGGCCCAACACGAGCATGTGCCTCCCACACTCACATTCAGGCCCAAGGTGAGCTGCGTGTGCATGCAGACTGGGCTTGTAGTGGTGTGTGTGTGTGCAAGAGGACACATGTGAGTAAGTATGTGTGTGTGAGTAAAAGTGTGTGTGTGTGTCTGTAGGTTATGTATATACTGTATTACATTGTGGGGAACAAATGTCCCCACAATCTGATAAAATCTTGTTATTTTGATGTTGTGGGGACCACTTTTCAGGTCCCTACAAGGCAAAACTCAGTTTTATAAAAATCTGCAACTCTAATAAAAAAACAATAATTCCAAAAGCCTTGTATTTTGTTTGGTTACTTATGGCTAAGGTTAGGGCTGTGAAAGGGTTAAGGTTGTCATTCTTAAGATTATGTTTTTTTCCCATAGAAATGAATGGACTGTCCCCACAAAGATATGAATACGAATGTGTGTGTGTGTATGGGTGGGTGGAAGAGCATGTGAGTGTGAGGAGGAGTGTGTATGTGCCAGGGTTGGGGCCATTCCCGAATGCATTGATCAATTCCAGTCCAAATCAGGAAATGGAACTGGAGTTGGGATTGGAAAAAAAACTACGGGAAACAGAATTGGAGTTGAATTTGAATTTCAGGGAGATTTAAGTTCCAACTCCAGTTCCATTTCCTGATTTGGACTGGAATTGATCAATGCATTCCGGAATGGCCCCAACCCTGGTATGTGCAGAAGGGCATGCGGGTTTAGATCCCAGAGTTTACTATTAATTATGTTTGATCTCACCTGCAGTATGGACAGCTCTCCTAATCTGGACGCAGCAGGTCCGATGTGTGGGGCAAAAGTAATGAAGCACATGGACATTGTGGCAGCATGTTTCCTTTTTCTCTCCATGTTATCTCTGCCTTTCTCATTTATAACCCCCCCTCCCCCCATAGATGCTAACCTGTGCAGAGCATGACCAGGAACGGCTGCACTTCTACTGTAAACCCTGCCAGCGCCTCCTGTGCTCCCTCTGCAAGCTGCGGCGAGCTCATGGTGGCCACAGGATCGTCCACGTCAGCCATGCCTACCAGAGCCTCAGGGTGGGCAGCAGCCTGTGAGAAGACAGGCACTCACTGCTGTGTGCAGAAAGCTAGTCACTTTGTATAGTGTCTACTGGGACAGGTGCTCTTTCCAGTGTGCAGAAAACTACTCACTGATTACAGTGTTTACTCAAACAGTCACTCGCTGCAGTGTGCGAAAAACTAGTCACATATTACAGTGTTTACCGGAACAGGCACTCATTCCTGTGTACAGAAAGCTCATCACTGATTACAGTGTTTACTGGGACAAGCATTTACTGCAGTGTGCAGAAAGCTAGTAACTTATTATGGTTTTTATTGGAACAGGCGCTCATTCCCATGTGCAGAAAGCTAATCACATATTACAGTGTTTACTGGAACAGGCACTCATTCCAGTGTACAGAAAGCTAGTCCCTTAATCAGTATAGTATTTCTTTGGACAGACGCTATTAGTATCTTATTTACATTACGTACTACACTGTTGATTTTCACTCAATAATTCTTTTTCTCCATCCAAACGAATATGTAGACATATGTTTTACATGTATGGGAGCTGTTTCTGTACAAACAATATGATCTCTGACCCCATAGGACAAGATTGCCAAAGGACTTAACTATGTCTTAGCCAATCAGGAAACAGTGCATACTCAGCTCAGCCAACTGGAGAATGCCATCACTCAGACTGAGGTAAAACGCTCAAACCCACCTACCTGTAGTCAATATTGTATGATGAATGTTCAGAAACATTTCTGTAATCATTCCTTGTTTTTCCTCTGGTTACTGCGCCCACCCCGTGCCAGACTGTGCTGTGCAACCCTGACCCAGCTTTAATTCCCCTTTTGTTTATTAAGTTGTTCTGTGTATGTTACTCCACCCCTTCTGTTTCATTATTATTACTCTTTTGGTGTAATAACACACTATTGGAGTTAAAGGTGCCAAGGAATGTTTGTGTATTTTTTGTCTGTGCATGTAAGACTTGATATCTGAGGAAGTGTTGTGATGTTGTGGCTCCAGCTGTCCAATAAAGCTTGTATTTTAAGGATTTACATTCCCCATAAATGGTTGCCAAGGCTCTTCTACGATTGCAATATTGTTTCTGATTAAGGAAGATTATTTTTCGATTAATATGTATTCTGTGTTTTGGTTTGTGCATTGTGTAATGGGTTTTGGATTGGTTGTTTTTCAATTTGAATTTCTTTTGGCAACAGTTAATCCAACTTGTCAACTTCCATTTGGAAAATGCAGATTAAATGCTCTAAGGTCACCTAGTATGCAGAGTTATGGGAACGATGGGTAAAACGATAAGTGCTCAGTGACTGTGGGTGATCGTAGTCAGATGGCATGAAGGGAGTTTAGTGTGTTCTCTGTGTAGTGAATGTATATACTAAAGGCTTTTAATCCCATCTTATATGTTTTTGCTTGCACAGTGTACTCTGTGATTTACCTTATACTGAAGTAGTTTTTTCCCCATTTTTCATTTGGAAGGGATATTGCCATGCAAGGGCATAGGTGTGGTTTCAACATTGGTAGGGACCTAATCAACCCCAAACTCTCCCCCCGCCCCTCTAAACGCATGGTCCCTAACACCCATACCCAAATCTACTGTGTCAGTCCGAGATAACAGTTCATACAATTTGGAGAGCAATTTGTTGGTGGCTATTACCGTTTTAATTTGTTCTGTTGATGGGGCTGGTGGTCGATTATTGTGTTTACTGACTTTAGATTTAATGACCGATTTTAGTTGAAGGTATTTGACCTTATGTGTTTCTTCAATGTCAAGGTTGTGGTTTCAGCTCCTGTGGCTTGTAGAGTAATGATATCAGTTGAATGCCAGCTGATGCATGAGTCCTGGATGCCCCCGCTCTCTCAGTCCAGGCTGTCCTCACTTACACAGGACCAGTCAAAAGTGTGGACATGCCAAGCTGTCTACAAAGGAGAGTGATAGTGATAGTGGACCTGGCCACCTGACCTAATCACAGAAGAGATGGTTTTGTAAGGAGTCTGACTAGAGAGTGAAGGAAAAGCAACCAACAAGGGCTTAGTGTATATATGGTATCTGAGAACTGCTTCAGGACAGCCGGAAAGGCATCCCAAGAAGCCACCTCATCAAAGAGTGGGGAGACAGTAGGGTCAGACAGTCTTTGTGCAACTGGGGATCAGGGCCTTGATCTCTGCTAACCACAGAATTTAAACCAGCAACTTTCAGAATACCAGCCATTATTTAATTCTATTTTTTGTTTGGTCTGTGCATAGTTCCATATATGCTATTTTATAGTTTTTATGTCTTTTATAATTATTTTAAAATGCAAAACATCACAAATAAACTGGGTAGGTTTGTCCATACTTTTGACTGGTACCACATGTTGCTTTGGACTGCTGAATTAATAAATGCCCAGTAATAGATCAGCCAGGAATATATGCATGTGAATTAGCTGCTTCTTGAACTTTAATTTTCTGAAGAGTAACTTAACTGCTTTGATCCTGGGTTTTTGATTTTTTTCAATAATTTTTTTTTAGTTTAGAATGTCATATTACTTGGTTTTCTTCTGATGATTGGAAACAACAGTAACACTACTTGATGGGACACAAATACTTAGTAATAACTCAGGTACTACTGAAGTACAAATCAGGAACAAACATAGTCTACTTCAGATAAAAAATGCATCACGAGTCATTAATAATGAACAAACATGAGATCAGTATTTCACGTGTTATTCATGACTTGTTCCTTATGTTTTAGAGAATTACCAGATATAGTAACAGATATAGTAACTGCTTGAGATAAAACATGTTAATTCATCATTAATGAATCGTGATATGAGATCACTATGTATATATGTATATTATTTGTGCTCTGTCAAGTAAAGTGTTACCGAAATAACACTTTACATAGTGGACTACCTTGTCATTGGGAATTGAAGGCACTGGTGCAAGATCACTAATCTTGATTCATTGTATGTTGTAGCCTGAGATGATTGTAATATCTGTATTATGGGTGTAAAGTTTTCCCAAACCAATGGTTCGGTTCATATCTCTTTTCTTTGATTTGTTTTGTTTTTTTAGGGGGGAGGGAGGATGGTTTTTTGGGGGTGAATAACAAAAAAAAAATGGGGAAAATGTTTGGGTTTTATTAATCACCAACTAACAGAACAACATTAAAGAACATGTTAGATTACCTTAACTTTACATAAAATAACTATGTAAACAATTTTTTTTTTTAAATAATACAGTAGTACCTCAGAACTCGAAATTAATCCGGACCAAATCCTAAAAAGTTTGAATTCTGATTGAATTTTCCCCATAAGAAATAATGGAAAACCAATTAATTGGTTCCCGGCCCCAAAAACACCGAAATATGTCTTTTTTTTAGCATTTAAACACAAAATGAACCGGACAAAACAAGAAAAGCATATAATGTACTAAACACATCTAAGCACATTTATCAAAACAGTCATTTTTAAAGTAAGAAAATAAATGTATCCAAACAATGTGTAAAGTTAAAAAAAAATGTGTCCTGCCCCGATCGTCCGCTCCTTCCGTGTGCCACGCCCCCTCGTTAACCCCGTGTGAAATCCCCGTGTGATCAGCTGTTTCTGGTTGTTGTATTTAGTCGGCATTTCAGTTTGTTTCCCCAGTCCGTCTGCGTTTTGCCTGCCTTACCTGTAATTAAACCCCGTATTCCCCGATACCCTGACGTCTGCGCCTTTGTCTCCGTTCCGTCCCTGCTGGGCACGACAATATTATTATAATTATATGTATTAATGGTTTATTATTAATATAAAAATAATTAATATGAAATCTTTATTTTTAAATGTATCTTATTATATAATAATAATTACTGTTACTGTCTATCATTGTCTAAATGTATTTTTACTGTCTAAATATATGTATTCAGCTAGTGTAAACATGCACGATGCTATCACAGCGAATGCAAAGCTGAGACTGAAGCGTTACCCTTTGTTTTTGCTGAGAGAGGTGCCGCGTGACTCATTTCCCCGCACGTACAAGTTATCTTAGGTCGGCGTTCACGGTTTGACTCCTGAGATTCAGATCGAGTTTTAGGTAATGTTTTTCAAACTAGTTGGTTTGACTTTTAAGAAATTCGAGTTCTAATGAGTTCGAGAACTGAGGTACCACTGTGTATATATATTCTCTTCTGAAGAACCACACCGCTGATGTGAATGTGCCTTGGGGCTCTGCAGTCTCAGGGTTATTATCCATCTTAGCTTAGCTTTTGCCACAGGATCGAGTGACTTTCCCAGGGATCAGATGAGCACAGTGACAGAGCTTTACTTGATGCAAAGATTGAGAAAAGGGCTTAAATCATAAATATCCCACCAAAGTGGGTGTAAAAGCTGGATAGTCTACATCAATGTTTCTCAACCTGGTCCTCAGGGACCCCAGATGGTCCATGTCTTTGCTCCCTTCCAGCTCCCTGCCAGACTGGGTTGAAAAACACTGGCCTACATCATAATATGTGCTTTTCTTCCTCTGGGTAGCTGAACAGCGCTTCTGCACAGGAGCAGCTGGCGCAGAGCATGCAGGAGCTGGCAGGGACCCTGGCTGGGCGGCGTCTGGAGCTGCAGCAGGAGCTGGATGGTGCGCGGCTGAAGCGGGGGCGGGCCCTGGCGGCACAGCTAGCCATCAGGTGGAGCCTGCTAGAGAACGCAGGCCTGCTGGCCTTCTCCCAAGAGCTGCTGAAGGAGGCCGACCCCCCCTGTTTCCTGCAGGCTGCCCTGCCCGCCCACTGCAGGTGGGCCATATTCCCTCTCTTTCCACCCCCAGCCTGTGTCTCACTGTATGTGTTAAAGCGAAGGAAAATTAAAGCTCTTTCAGGGAAAAAAGAAGAGAAAGGGCTGCTCTATAGTCTGTCGACTGGCTGTCAAGTGACAAAACACAGTGGCAATGTCCCCGACATTATATACTGTCACATGCAGGATTGCCTGAGGTAGACAAGTGGAAAACACTGATTCCGGATACGTCACACAGCTGCAGGGATGCATGCGCACCTTATGGAGTACAGTGTTACAAACTATACAGACAGGCACCTGTGACAGGCACCAAGGAGTAAAATGTTATAAATGACACAGATTTCCGTCTGTTTTTGGGGGACTGGGACTGTTCTTTATGCATTGCTTAATTTCCTAGTTGTGACGGCCCAACCCCCATCCCCCCTTACTCTGACAGGCTGATGAAGGCAATCGAGTCTCTGCAAAGCTTCTCAGTGTCTGCCGATCCTTTTCTGCGACACTTCCAACTGGACATCACCCATGAGCTGCAGCTTCTCACTAGCCTGGATTTCACTGGGGGTATGAGCATGAGAGAACGAGCGAGTGAGAGAGAGAGAAAACAAGTGAGACTGATGAAGGACATGAGGTGGTGGGCTGGTGATATTATACATTATACGTATGCGATTCAGTTTGATCCATGGTGACTTACAAATATCATAGTTGGACCTGAAATATGATGGTACCCTGTGAACTGTACAGGAATGAGATGAACAAGACAGAGAAGCAGTATCGACAAATCACTTTGCTCATTATAATCTCTCTGGAATCCAGATTGTTTCCATCCATCCATCCATCCATTGTCTGCTGCTTAACTGGGGTCTGGCCACAGGGGATGCCCATACCGCCCGCTCCTCTGCCACCTCCTCTAGCTCCTCCAGGGGAACAGCAAGGCATTCCCAGGCCAGCTGGGAGATATAATCGCTCCTGCATGTCCTAGGTTTGCCCAGTGTCCATACATGCTATGAACAGAATCGATGACAAAGGGCAGTCCTGGTGGAGTCTAACACTGGGAACAAGTCTGACTTACTGCTGGCAATGCAAACCAAACTTTCACTCCAGTTATACAGGGACCTGATGGCCCATATTCATGAAGCACCCCTCAGAGGACCCCCCAAGGGACATGGTCAGATGCCTTTTCCTAATCCACTAAACACACAGCCTCTTCTGCAATTAAGTCCTGTAACATCACCCATTCAGACTTAATGTCTCCGGCTATCCTCGAGATGCATGAGAACTTCTGCTGGAGGTGCACAGTCCCAGGTGTATCAGGCATTTCCCCCCCACAATCTGATCCAACTCACCAACTCACTCATCAATTGAGTGTCCGACAGGAGAGGAGGAGGCCATTCGGCCCATCAAGCTCATTTGAGGGAGAACTTAACTAATAGCTCAGAGTTGTTAAAATCTTATCTAGCTCTGATTTAAAGGAACCCAGGGTTTTAGCTTCCGCTACACTAGCAGGAAGACTATTCCATACTCTAACTACACGCTGTGTAAAGAAGTGCTTCCTCAAATTCATTTTAAAATGTTCTTCCGCTAATTTCCACTTATGGTCACGAGTTCTAGTATTTAAACTAATATTTGGCCAGTTTCCCAGTCAAGGATTAAGCCTAAGCCTAGACTAGCTTTGAGTTTCAATGGTGAATCTCCATTGATACTGCAATTTAGTCCAAGACTAGGCTTAATCCTTGTTTTGGAAACTGGCCCATAGAAATAGCCATTTGGCTGAACAGCATCCAGACCCGTTAGAATCTTATATACCTGGATCATGTCCCCCCTTAGTCACCTTTGGTCGAGGCTGAACAGATTCAGCTCAGCTAACCTCTCTTCATAAGACATTCCTCTAAGACCAGGAATCATTCTTGTAGCCCTACGTTGCACCCTTTCCAAGGCAGCAATGTCCTTTTTATGGTATGGTGACCAAACCTGCACACAATATTCTAGGTGGGGTCTTACCAATGAACCCAACATCCTATTGGCCTTTTTTAAAGCTTCCCCACAATGATGAGAGTGGGACATGGAAGCATCAACATACACACCAAGGTCTTTCTCATAATCATCTACCTTTATTTCAGTAGAACCCATAAAATATCTGTACTTTATATTTCAGCTCCCTGCAAGGATTACTTTACATTTATCTATGTTAAATTTCATCTGCCAGGTATCAGCCCAGTCGCTAATTAAATCCAGATCCCATTGTAGCCTCTCTGCTGCTAGATCAGAATCTGCTACACCACCCACACACACTCAAGTCCAACAATAGAGCTCTGCTCGGTTTCAGATCAATCACTGGTGTTCGGTACAAAAGCACAGACAGCAGTAAGAACCTGTCCCCTGACACAAAGTCAAAAGAAGGCAATGTCCTAGCACTGAACCGGGGGGCTATAAGTAGGCCCACCCATGCCCGGCACCCATCATGGCCAACTCCAAAGTAGAGTAGAGTCCAGCCCCTCTCCAGGAGTCTGGTTCCAGAGCCTCAGCCATGCATTGAGGTAAGCCCGAGTATATCTAATTGATATTTTTCTACCTCTTACACCAGCTCAGGCTCCTTTCCTACCTGTCCCTGAAGCCACATCTGGTAGCTGACAATCATTCCACTGAGGCCCCTGCCTTCAACTGCCACCTTATCTACATCACACCCGACCCCCATGGCCCCTCTGCAAGTGGTGGGCCTAAATGAGGGTGGACCTGTGTTGCCCTTTCGGGCTAATTCCAGGCCACCACATGAGAATGAATAAACCACAAACTTATTAGATAATGGATAATTATATCCATTATCTAACACAGGTTTATATTGCTGCCAAATAAAATATCTAATTTGTTATTTGATTTTTTTTTTTTTTACATTTTATTTTATACACGTTCTCAAATATTTGAATATTCAACAATGCCAACTCATCTCTAATGAGGACTTGAGAGAGGGATTAGGATTGACTTTACAGGATGCAAAGAAAAATTAAAACAGAAATGTACAAGTTTCTCAAGGATGAGGGAGGCTAAAGGTGTCAACCCTAATAATCCCAAGACTGGCAACACTTTCCCTCACATTTTTCATATGGGCCATCTGCTGTTAGGCTAGATGAATAGTCACCATTCAGATAATACATTATGGGCCGGTTTCCCGAACTAGGATTAAGACTATTCTTGGACTAAATTGCCGTTTCAATGGAGATTCACCATTGTAACTCAAAGCTAGTCTAGGCTTAGGCTTAATCCTTGACTGGGAAACTGGCCAAAAGTTGTCTACCATTTTTATCTGCTGGGGTCAGAATAATGGGTTTGCCTAGAGGGTCGCCCTGTTGTTTTACACCTTTATGCTGGGGGGTTTAAATCCCATCTGCATTGTTTGGGAGTGTGGCTCAGTATGGTATGGTTGTGCTTGCAATTGGAAGGTTGTGGGTCAAATTCCAAGGTAGGAAACTGAGGCCAGTGTTGGGCAAAGCACTTAACCTCCAATTGCTTCATGGGTGCTGGATGACCCTATGCTGCGACTCCCAAAACTTGCTCTTACCTGTATGTGTGTCTGTGTGGCTCATGGAGAGCAAGATGAGACAGGTGTAAAAATCAATTTCCCCATGGAAATCAATGAAATATTGCTATTCTGTTGTATTATTGCTGTACACACAGCCATTTTGACCAGAGGTCATAGCTCAGCACACAGGTTTATTTGTAGTTACTCATGCATACCTGTGCAGCAGTTTGCAACTAATACTATATTGTGCAACCCCGTGGCCTCGGCAACATATGAGCAGGTTTTTAAACCAGATTATTAAGGATTGAAATGTCCTGAAACCAGGGGCGCCGCTAAGGGGGGGAAAGTTGGGACAATTCTAAGGGCCCACGCCCTTTAGGGCCCCCCAGAGATCTGCTTTTATTAATAATAAGTTACCGTAGGGGGGCCCAACCTCATATTTTGTCATAGGGCCCAAAATTGCTAGCGGCGCCCCTGCCTGAAACTGTAAAATCAGTCATCCAGACATAAACATTTTAAACATCTCCATCCAAGTAAAGTTTCAGCTGCACTAGTGTTAGTAAGAGAAGATGAAAGTATGGATTGTGGTCTTTTAGCAAGTGAATTGTTTTTCCTCACTGTTTTGATCCTTTAAAATGCTGAAAATCAATAGGACATAGTCAATACCTTCCCTAATGCTTCAACTCATGCAAACAAAAAACCGAGAGAAACTGCAGAGCAAATGTACTGATATTTGCTCTGAGGGGGATACCTGTCCTTTTCATAGCCAAGCTCCTTACAGAGCTGCCCATTCTGACATGAAAACATTTGGGTTAGACACAGATTTGCACAGAATCATCAGTATGCTGATAAATGGAATAAATAAGCACCTCCTGTTGTTTCAGCCCCTCTGGCGCCTGTGATTGATACCCAGCGCACTCTGGCCTATGACCAACTCTTCCTTTGCTGGCGCCTGCCCCCGGGCTCTGCCCCCGCTTGGCACTATTCCGTGGAGTTCCAGAGACGGGAACCGGGGCTGCGGGGGGCCGGTGGGAGAGGTCGGCGAGCCTGGCAGCGCCTGCAGGAGGTGACGGGCACAAGCGCAGTGATCGACAAGCCAGAAGCTGGCTGCGTGTATGCGCTGAGAGTGAGGGGCTGCAACCGGGCTGGCTTCGGAGATTACAGCGAGGAGGTGTACCTGCACACCCCGCCGGCACCTGGTGAGTGCCGGTCTGACCGTCCTCATGTGGAAATGCACCCTGAGTGGTACTTATGAGCTCCTGCTTCCTGCATGCTGTGATTATTTCAACATTTGTGACACTGTGTGTGATGCTGTTTCCTCTCCAGGATCTTTGTTAAGTGTTTTGGGACAGCTTTGTTTGGGAAGAGCACTATAATAGAGTAAGAGCATTGTGTAAGAAACACAACACTACAGAAGAGTAAGAGCATTGTGTAAGAAACACAACACTACAGAAGAGTAAGAGCATGGTGTAAGCATAACGGCACTATATAATAGTAAGAGCATTGTGCAAATATAACAGCACTACATAAGCGTAAGAGCACTATACAAGAATGAACTGTATGGATTTCAATGGATGGTCCAGTGAAGATTTCCTCCTACAGCCTAAAGATTGGTGAACTTTATTTATAAAGCGTCTTAGAATCACTCCTAACAATCGCACTAGGATTAGACTTTGACCTACCTCAGAGTAGGACGTGAGAAGAAAAAAAGCTTCCTACACCCACGGAGCTAGGAGTAGGAGTTTGTGTTTGATAGAAAGTAACATCATGATTTCAGGGCTCCTGGAGCAGACAAATGGCATTCACAACGGCATTTTGTAGTTCTCCTTTGAAATCGCGGTGACGTGTAGTTATTTGATATTGCATAATAATAATAATAATAATAATAATAATGGTGATGATGATGATTTTGATCATTACCATTACCCACAGATATGTTAACTGTCCTACTGATGTAACCAATACTTTAATATTGGCAGAGAGCACATGACTTCTCCTTGTAGATGGAGCCATGTACTAGATTGATGACAAATCATTTTATAATATTACAGCAAAGAAATAACATAAGGAGAAAGCAGAAGTAGAACTGTAATGCACAAAAGCTACCACTACTACTACTACTATTCAGGGGCATTTCTAGCCACTGAAATGTTCAGGGGCTAAGTTGAGTTTACCTTGGGTTTGACTTTTGTTTTTTTTTTTGAAGATTGGCATCTGGGGTAAAATATTTGGGGCTAGGCTTAAAATACTTGGGGCTTAACCCATCATGGCGTGTATCACACTGGGTGCGTGGCGTGTGCGTTGCAGAACTGCTGCAGCACGGATCCATGTTTTTACATAGCTCAATCAAAACCTGAAAAATAGAACCAGGGGCCTGTATTACAGCTGGATTACTTGCTTAGCCAGATAACTTGTCGGATTGAAGGTAGTCTGAGCTAAATTCAAGTGAACAAAAAGTCCTTTTAAACCAGGGTACCTTAAATCTGGCAAGTTTATGCGGCTAAGCAAGAAATCCAGCTGTGTTACAGGCCCCTGTTCTTCACTTAGTTCAGGGTACCCTAGTTTAAATCGATCTTCATTCACTTACATTTAGCACAGACTACCTTAAATTCAACAATTTATCCCAGATAGACTGTTACAGACAAGCTCACAACAGACAGGAACAAATATGATTTTATAAATTAATAAAAACACTCCTCCTCCTACTACTGAAAGTCTAACCAAAATCAAATCACTATGAGAATTTTGGACCAATTACAATTGTTTTCTTACTCAAAGATGCTTTATCAATATGGGCACTGGTGTCTCTCATTGTTTGATTGTGTCCTGTAGACTGGCACCCCATCCTGGGTGCATGCCTGCAAGAAGCAATGTCATGCCTAAGAGAGGCCTAGGGCCTCCCATTACCCTGACTGACTGACTTACTGATTGATTGATATTGATTGGATTCCTGGATGTATGGTTGTCAGATAGATGGATGGACAATGACCTGAATTGGTAACTCTTCTGCTAACCCTCTTGCTTCACCCCCTCGTCAGTGTTGGGCTTCCAGCTGGACGCGCGATGGGCCCTGCATGCCGACCACCTGCAGCTGAGCCGGGAGCAGCGCAGTGTGCGCAGTGTCCCGGGCCTCTCACTGCTGCAGGCCGCTGGTGAGGCCCTCACTTCCTGCCCTCTGACCTCTGACCTGCTGGTGGGCAGTGTGGCTGTCACGGAGGGCAGACACTACTGGGCGTGCTCTGTGGACCCTGGTTCCTACCTAGTCAAGGCAAGTGGGGGCAGATTTTTGGGGGGAAGCAGCAGGTAGGGGTAGGGTTGGGTACCGAAAACCGGTGCCAATACGGCACCGGTACCTATATAACCGGTATGTACCGGACCGAAACAAAACGCGAATTTCGGTGCCACTTCGATGCCTGAACTGTCGATTGAAATATTTGTTCTCTGGGGCTATGATGACACAGTTGTAATAAGCATAAGATTCATCAACACACACGTGACATCATCAGGAAATGAGACCATCTGAGATGCGCGTGAATGCAGCAACTAACGTTAAACTTGCTCTGACGGCAGCAGGTGGTCTACCGCTATCTTAGCTTGCTAAATTAAACAACTTTTGTTAAAATGCCTAAAACTAAACGGTCGAAAGTGTGGCTATATTTCACAAGAAAGGATTCCAACACTTTATAGTCTCTGTCCATTGACCATGTTTTCCTTCTCAATGTCTCCTTCGTGGTGTTTCTGCCCTCCAGGTGGGGGTGGGTCTTGAGGCCAAATTGCAGGAGTGGTTCCAGCTGCCTCAAGACATGGCAAGTCCTCGGTGAGACTAGCTGGGAAGATCTTGGCGGGGGGAGGGGTTCGGATATGATACATTCCCAGTATTTCATGTATAGGAAGTGTCACTGTGTCACAGCTAGGCTGATAGTGTTACTGTGTCACAGTCTGACAGGCAGTGTCACTGTGTTACACTTGTACAGGCAGTGTCACTGAGTCACACTCGTGTAGGCAGTCTCACTATATCACATTCAGACAATGTCACTGTGTCACAATCAGACAGGCATTGTCATTGTGTCACACTTGTACAGGCTATATCACTCTCAGTTCGTTACCATGCACCCTAAGAAAACCAAATTATTGTGTTAGTCCGACTAAAACCGGACTAAATCGAATGTCTCAAAGTCAGATTAAGACACCCAGATAATGCGATTGGGAGTCGATTTACTCCTGTATACATTGTCAAATGACTCAAGCTGGCCTAGGCACTCTGCTCATGCTCCACCGTTCTCCTGCTGCCCATTCCCATTGGTACTTCAAGAAGGTATCAAAAGTCCGATACTTCAAGGTGTTGGTTTTCCACTGGCGTAAAAACTGGTACATTAGTGACATAACACGAGGAAAGTATTTTGTATTAAATTCGAGAAAGAGTAGGACTGGATGACCTGCAATATTAATACCAGCATCACATGCATCGTTATACACATCCAACTCTTACATCATTAATCAGTTGGGGGTAGCATGTGGTTCAGTGGGCTAAGTCTGTGTGCTTGTAATCACAAGGTCACCAGTTCAAACCCAGCCTCAGCACATATTGTGGGTCCTTGAGCAAGGCCCTTAACTTCTGGCTCCCTGGGCACTGCTATGGGTGGCAGCCCTTCACAGACAGCTTACTCTACAAACAGCAAGTTGAGGGAGGCATAAAGATAATTTCCCCACAGTGATAATAAAGTATCAATTATTATTAGCTAGATAAAGATCAGACTTATTCTTACCTTCAATTTGGTACAGATATTTTAGCGCAGGGACTTTAAGTCTCACTAAAACATTTTTACCCTGTTATAGGAAAAAAAAACTTTAACATTTTTTAATGATTATTCCATTTCAAGATTATTTAATATATGCTTAAAAGTCAGTCAAAATCAGTCCTAGACATGAGAAATTTATTTTGAACTCCTTTTTTGTTTCATAAATACCCCAATATTTATTACAACAAAATAATCTTGCAATATTTGACAAATTTCCAATACTGTGCTGTCATAGTATATTAAACAAAATACTTAACTTCTTGTTATGCCATACTGATCTTGTTGTATCTATTCTTTTGACCAGATCGCAATTAAAGCTTGCATCACTTCATTTGTCCATGCAGTCATTATTACCAATTTTATTTATTTTTTTAACGTCTGTCACATAATAGGTCAACTGGAAAAAGCCCAATACTAACAAGCTGAAAGGAGCCATATCGCCACCTATTGTAGCGGAGTCAGACATACTTCCATCAATAAATCGATTCCCCTCCTTGCATGTATACTGGGACAAGGACAGAAGTCTGATTAAATGGCGTAGTCGAGCTATAACCATAGCTTAACTTAGCTTTGCATGTAAACGTATTTTGTGATACAGTCAAATAGGCAGTGTCACTGTGTCACACTCATACAAGCTGCGTCACTGTGATACAGTCAGACAGCACTGTATTCTTCTAGCTTGTTTATCATTTAGCTTTCTTTGCGTCACCTCCTTCCAACCAGCTATGACCCAGACAGTGGCCATGACAGTGGAGCTGAGGACAGTCCAGATGGCCCGCCCCCCTTCTGCTTCCTCACAGTAGGAATGGGCAAGCTCTTCCTGCCCCAGGCCTGCATCGGCGACTCAAACAGCCCCAGCAGCTTGGCTCTGCCCCTACCCTCTCGGCTGGGTCTTTGCCTTGACTTTGAAAAAGGCCGCGTCGTCTACTATGATGCTCATACACTCCGCCCCTTGTGGGAGGGGCCGGTTGATTGCACCGGCCCTGTTTGCCCAGCTTTCTGTTTCATTGGTGGAGGGGCACTACAGCTTCAAGAGATGATGGCCAATCGCATCACAGAGCCAACCACCCCAAGAAGGGTGACGATCCAATCTCACACATCTAGTCTGAACAACTGAGATGCAGTAATTCAGTGGATTTTAACATAAAGTTACCTCAAGTTTTTTTTTTTTTTTTATAGAGCTTCCATGAAAAGATTACTTTTTAATAACAAAGTATTAATTTTATTGTCATTTTAATGCTTTTTTTGTTTTTAATAAGAGCTTAATAAGAGCTTTCTCTGGGAGTTACATAAAACTTATTTATGCTTGCTACTTACATGGGTGAATTTGATATATGTGATTACATTGATATTCAGGTGATGTTCATCTTTCAATATCCGCATCTTAGGCACTGTGTACACATGGTTCTATAATGTGTCTTGGGCGATTGGATCACAAATGGAAAACCGAGACACATCACTGGACACACGTCCATCACGTGTCTCCAAGGTGTCCAGTTGGCCACTTGTGTTCAGATTTTGTTACTGCCCCACGCACAGTTTTCTGATATCCCAGATTTTCTTTGCTGGGATGCATTAAGCCACATTAGCATTTTCATAACAAAACAGATGTGGTCACATGTTTCCCAGACCCCCTCAGCTAGAGGTTTGAGTAATCTGATCACAGTGTGTCTTTGTGCTTGTTTACACTTGTATTTAGCTCTGTCCACTTGCGATCCCATCATCCAAGATAAATTTTGAAGCCAAGTGTAAACAGGACCTTAAATTCCTCATTCTTACATGAGTTTTGTTTTGCTGAGGCTGATGAAAAGGAGACATTCCCACTCCTTTTGCAGAACTTCATTCAATATTTTCACTTACACATTATCAGTTAACTTATCTAAATGGTTGGTGTTTGTAAATTAGGGCAGAGATCAAGTGCTTGAGAGGATTTAATTTGTATTTTTTTTCTCAGGCCTTTTTATATCAGTCATCATCAGGGGTGGACAGTAACAAAGTACAGTAAAACCTCGGATTGCGAGCATAATTCATTCCGGAAACGTGCTCGTAATCTAAAGCACTTGTATATCAAAGCGAATTTTCCCATTAAAAATAATGGAAACACAACCACAACCCAAAAATATTCATATAAAAATGATTAATACAAAATATAAAGTAAAAATACATAAAACAAATTAACCTGCACGTTTACCTTTGAAAAGAATCGTGGATGGTGTGAGGGAGACAAGAGAGAGGAGAAGTGGAGGGTTATTTTGTAGGACAACTTTCACTATAACTAACGGAATCACTGCTATCTGTTGGCTCACTGGAATCTTTTTCTTTTTGTACGAGTTTAACAAGGAACCTATCCAATGGCTGCTGCTTTTGCCTCCTTTACAATTTCGCAGAAATGTGGACATTGCATTGTTGTTAAACAGCTTCATGGCTCGCACTGCTACGCCCTCATTCAGGTGGTGCTTTTCTACTAAATTTTGACTAAATGAGTGAGGCAGTCTGACAGGCAGTGTCACTGTGCCACTGAGCATGGGAAATGATTAGCCACAACCCCGCAGCGAGAGAGAGAGAAGAACCATCGGCTCAGTTGTGATTACGTGACGCTAGACAGACAAAGCGTATACGTAATACTCGTATTGCAAGACCTTGCTCGTTTATCAAGTTAAAATTTATTAAAAAATTTTGCTTGTCTTGCAAAACACTCACAAACCACATTACTCGCAATCCAAGGTTTGACTGTACATTTACTTGAATACTGTTAAGTCCATTTTTCAAGTATCTTTTCAAGTTTTTTTCTAAACTTAAGGTTTTAATTCTACTACATTTGAAAGACAAAGATTGTACTTTTGACTCCAATACATTTCTGTGATGGTTCTTGTTACTCATGACCTTGAAGCATAGTCATCACAACATGCGAGACAAAGGACTCAAAGATGGGTGTTAGGAGAAAAAGCGGTCTTATTAACAGCAGCAGGGAAACAAATGAGACTACAAGGACTCAAAACAAGAAGACTAGTATGGGGAAGGACATCAGCAGACATGAGGAGTGACATCAATGACCAGTCTGGAGCTGATGAGACAAACAGGTTCTTAATTGCAAAGACTAATGAGGGGTAACAAGCAACAGGTGTGGCTCATCAGGGCTACATCAGGGAGGAGACAGGAGGGTCAGGCGGACATGATGAGCAGGACGTAACAGCTTTGAAGACAGCGGACAGATTTTCTAACATGCGATAGGCCATTGTTGTGTTCATCATAGAAGAAAAACCAATCACAGTAAACTACTCCTGCGCTATCAGTCATGTTGCTGTTGGGCAGTTATAAAGCTAGAGGTGTGTAACTGGGTTGGCTGTTTCATTATTTTGTTCTAAGGAAGCAATCTACAGCAATTCCACACACACACATATATACATTAGGTTAACTATATCTTTGTAAGGACCCTCCTTTCATTCCCTTGGGCATAACCCTAATCCCATCTATGACAGCCCTAACCTTAACAATAAGTAACCAATCAAAATACAAGACTTTTGGCATTGTTTTTCTTAGTGGGGACCAAAAAAAAATTTCCCCATGAGGTCAAAATAACACGTTTTTATCACATTGTGGTTCCCACAATATTGCATATACATGACCACACACACATACACACTGCCGGAGTTGTGTTAGATCACTGCCATGCTGTTTTGTGGGTGTGGGGTATTAAATTGAAAAAGTGAAAACAACAATGGCTGTCCTTTTGACAATTTAACAATTGTGTTTCTAAAGACATTGTAGCATGTTTCACAAGCTTTTAATTCTACAGATTCTACCACCAAATCAGTGCAATTCTGTAGGTTGTTTCAGTCATTGGGTTCTCTAAATGCATTGTGGCAACAACACAACAATGCATTGACATAAAAAATAAATGTACTTTTGAATAGTTAAGTTTTTTAAATTAAGTACTCCAGTACTTTAACTTTCAAGTAAAAATTTGACTGAACAACTTTCACTTTTATTGAAATATTTCATTATGAGTATCAATACTTTGACTTAAGTAATAGAGTTGTGTATTTTGTCCACCTCTGATCTTCATATTCTTTCTTTTTGTCTCCATGATACTTAGACTTTACAGCAATAAATGTGAATACAATATGAATGTAGACTTCATTTAGTCTTCTCAAAGGTAATTATGCTATAATAAAATTTGTAACTAGTATATATTTAACCTACTGTAATGTAATATAATATTAAACTATAGCAATGTAATTACTTTGTAATTCCCACTATATACACATTTTTAGTTTATATAGGCAATATAAAATGGCCGGCTAAGATATTATCAGATCTATGTAACCCCAGTTAATATGACCTGTGTAATACAATACAGGCACTTTAGTGCTAAGTTCTTGTAGGTTTACCTCTAGTTGTGAGACAGTTAATGACAGATAATGCTTTAATCATTTGCCTATCTAATAGGGGGTCACTGAGGTTTTCCCCCCTTTCAGTTTTTGTGTGTGTTTTTGTGTTTATCTCCATTCTGTGCCTCTATGCTTTGAATGAATGTGCCAGCATGTCAATATGCGGCTTGTGTGTGCCTAATGGTAAAAACTATTAACTTATTTTTAATTAAATGTATTTTTTAAATTTATCATGTTTAAACTAGGCTAGTTTGATAACTCATGGCTTATGTGATTTTACGAAGCGGAATGTTTCAATTAATTACTTGATTTTTTTGGCTCATTTTAACAAGCAGCATAGTATTTAAATGACTTTAGACTGTTGCATTTAATGAAGGATGGACTATACTGATGGAATTGTTGTAAAGCCAAAAAGTATATAGTAATAATAAACAAAATGCTTGAAAGAAACACGGCTAAGCTGAGAGCTTCCTTCTGAATGCATATACGTATATAAGAGTGGGGTGGGTCTGACTTTCAGCCCTGGGGTGACATGATAGATACCAGCCCAGGGGGTGGATGGGTACAGGGGCTGTCCTCCATGGTACCAACACAAAGAGCTCTACTTTGACAATCTAACACAAAGCGCAAGTAACATTTATGGGCATGTCCAAATCCATTTAGCTATTTTGATGCCAGAAAAAACAGACTTTGCACCAGCGCAAGGCACAAAAAGGTTGTCCTAACTCTGTTAATCATTCAGAGGCATGTTTTGGGTGTAACAAGCAATAAACCAATCGGAATGACGCGTCACCTAACCTGGCAGTGGTGCATGATGTACAGCGGGTTGCTATTACAATGGTGCGTCTGCCCGGCAAGCCAGATGGAAACGGACCTGCTCCCGCACTAAGTGAAAATGTGCATCATTTTCGGAAGCACCACTGTTCCACCTGAGCCTTTGGAGGAGGAACAGGGTGTGTGTCTCATTATCTGGCATCATTAGACCACCCAGTCAGTGCCGTAAGCGGTATAATGATGTCAGAAGACAGAGGAAAAGAGAAGCTGGCTGCTGAATGAGCACAGCGGCTGGGAACAGGGACTTAATTATGCTTGTGTGTTTTTTATTTTCATTTTCAGTCTGCAATATGCAAAATATATAAGTGGAATCTTTGCTCAAACAAAACACAACCTACCATTTTTAAGGTGTTTTTGGCCCAATCCCATTTCTCCTCCCTTACCGTGCGTTCACACCGCCGGCGGCGAGAGCGTCAAAATTCGCCCTGGCCGCCCTGCCAACGACGCTGTGCAGAGATTTTTGGACGCTTTGACGTAGATTGAATGCTTGTCTTGTATTTAAAGGGGCCGCAAATCAAACAAGCTTGTTAATCTTGTGCATACTGACCACAAGGAGGGTATAAGATAACCTCATGAAATATATTGAATGTGAAAGTAAGAAATTGATCGATGGAAAGAACTTTTTTGTAGTTACATGTTTTCTTTCAATTGAAAGCCATTTGTGTGGTGTGTAATTTTTATGTTCATGGTTAAGTGCTAGTCTAATTTCAGTATTATAGGAGACATGTATTTACTAGTCTTGGTCTTTAACATTAATTAATTAATTAATAATCCAATATGTTTTGATATGTCAAAATATTCTGCAGCAGTAACAGCTTTGCATGCTCTGACGCTAAAGTCAGCTTGAAATTCCCGCTTATTTTCAGAAAATACATAACGTTAATGCACATTAGAAACTCACCAGGAACCCCAACAATCTCGGACACCTTGGTCCATGCATCATTTTTTTTATTTATGTCCCTGTATGCAAACAGGGACACGTCGTAAATTACTGGGAAACCCGGCACAGCAATTATTAACCTCTCCTCCATTCTGCATGGGATCTTCTTCTTTATTGCTTGATGGCGGTCGGCCATGGGAACTAATGTGGTCGGAACCAAAGTTTACAGGACTGCGTTATCTGGAATCTGCTCAAGCGGTGGACTTCTACATTTCGATTGGTTGCCGCCTAACCGCGTCATAGCTCATTACCATAAAGTTGACCTGATTTCAACTCTCCTTGACGCCTTCGCCGTCCAAGACGCGCCGCGCCGCTGCTCGCCGCATCTCGCCGCCGGCTCACATTGAAAATGAATTACTTCCGGCCACTTTGACGCTCTCGCCGCCGGTGGTGTGAACGCACGGTTAGCCCTACCACTAGATTTCGAGGCCCCTCCCTTCCGAAGCTGACTTCACAGCTCCTAGCCACAAGGGGTAAGGTTTGAAATCTTTACCTAGGAATCGGGACACCAGCTCGCTTATGAGCTGCCTGGTTTGCTCGGGAGTCCCTGGAATAGTACAACATGCTAATAACATGGACATGTCACTTTAACATTTCAAAATGATTATACCACTGACGTGTCCCTAGAATATTACAAAATGATTGTGACAAATTCGATTTGTGGATTAGCATTCCTTTGGCAATGGCATGCAGATTTAAAATTAAGAATATTGCATGCAATATTTCTATAAAACAAGCACACGTTTTGCATAAGCAATATGTCAGGAACAATGTCTTTTACATATTCCACGATGTAGAATAATGCACTTAGAAGACTATTGCACGAAACACAGTAAATAATCGGGGGTGAGTTTACCAAAAGTGTCGTAGCCAAAAAACTACATAAAAAGGACTTTGAACGCTCTCTTTCTGAATAAATACGTTCTTAATTCTTCGACGGTTTTG